CAACCATCGAAGGCCTTATAGGTGTAGTTGATAAAGGCAAGCTCAGGCTTGTAGGACTTGCTCGAATCGGTGACATTTGCTGTGTGAAAAAAATAATAAACGTTCTTTGTGAGAAACGAAGACACAAAAGACAAGCAGAAAATACAACCCCAGGATCATCAACTCAGTCAGGTGACCCCGTGGTTCGAGCAGATACAATGACGGTTAAGGCAATGCAGGCTATGCGTGTTGAGAGCAGACATGCCCGAGACTCCATGCTCGTTATGGCAAACCCTAAACTCAACTGTCTATGCGAGCGAACAGTTAGAATTACATGTTCAAGAAGCAGTGTCGATGTGTCTGTATGCATTAACGAATCCTAAATTTGCGGAATGCACGAAAGAACAAAAAGAAAGCTTCTTCTTGGTTGGCTGGCTAGTAGCCCTTGTTGGATCAGGAGCCCCTCATACCCTGTACAAACTGGCTTTTTAGACAATATGTATTTTATAGTTGACTGTCGGTGTCCTTATGAATTCAAATATATTTTATAGAAAACATGCACCAAAGTATTCTTTTTGGTACTCCGTTGGTGGCAGAGTACGCCATTTTCTAATGTCGTACTTGAAGGGTCAGCCAGTCAGTCAGTCCTGAAAGTTTTAAATGCTGGGCCGCGTGTACGGAACACATGCGGAAACTAGAGGAATTTTACTACCTCGGCTCGACGACCGAACCTCAAGCAGGATGAGGCAGTCCGCAGCCCCGATAAAAATAAATCGAGGACGTCTCAGGCCACCAAGAAGGACCACTAAGGTGGTTTGAAGAAGTCTTGTAGTGGTCACCCTGAGAGTTCAAAGCTGCTGTTTTTCATCCGACATCGGCGCCCAAGCAGAGACGACGAGGTCAGCTTAAGACGTGACTTCAAAGAGGTTCTTGGAGCCTCCGTTTTCCACCGTTGTTCTGTAGTACAGTGGACCGACCTCTCCAAACCAAAAAACATAAGGCAGAGCAAACGTAACCATCGATTTCGGTTAGATCAGACATGACAACACCCGTATAAGTGCAGTCGTAGCGGTTACGAAGTCCCTATGTCTTGAGAAGGTCATAAGGATCTGAATAAGAAAGTTATTCTTAACAGAAC